GGCTAATTTTGATATTTTTAGTAGAGCCGGGTTTCACCATGTTGGCCAGGCTGGAAAATGAATATTTAAAATGAGTTTCTGGGCCTTACCTCTGCCTCATCTTGAGGCTTAGTTGTAAATCAGCATACTTTTTTCTTTTATCCTTTTTAATTTTAATTAATTAATATTTTTGAACCGGAGTTTCATTCTTGTCACCCAGGATAGAGTGCAATGGCTCGATCCTGGCTGACTGCAACCTCTGTCTCCTGGGCTTTAAGGTATATTATGCAGCAATCAAAAATGATGAGTTCGTGTTGTTTGTAGGGATGTGGATGAATCTGGAGAACATCATTCTCAGCAAACTGACACATGAACAGAAAATTAAATACCACATATTCTCACTCATAGGCAGGTGAGGAAAAATGAGAACACATGGACACGGGGAAGGCAGTACTACACACTGGTGTCTATTGGGGAAAATAGGGGCGGGACGGGGGGAGGAGCTGGGGAGGGATAGCCTGGGGGAGAAATGCCAAATGTGGGTGAAGGGGAGGAAGGCAGCAAAACACACTGCCATGTGTGTACCTATGCAACTATCTTGTACGTTCTGCACATGTACCCCAAAACCTAAAAAGTGATTCTCCTGCCTCAGCCTCCCAAGTAGCTGTAATTACAGGCGTCCACCACCATACCCGGCTAATTTTTGTATTTTTTGTAGAGATGGGGTTTCATCATGTTGACCAGGCTGGTCTCAAACTCCTGACCTCAGGTGATCCACCTGCCTCAGCCTCCCAAAGTGCTGGGATCACAGGTGTGAGCCACTGTGCCCAGTTTCTCCTTTTTAAAATGTAAAATGTGAAGTAAAAACTGGAAAAAACATTACATTGATTCAGAAATAACTTTCTGGAATAACAAGCTTGGTCTCTTGAGGGATGTTCCTAACATTGAATATTTTTCCATCTGGCTCCCATAAGAATTTTTTTTTTTTTTTTTTTTTAAGAGACGGAGTCGTAGGCCGGGCGCGGTGGCTCACGCCTATAATCCCAGCACTTTGGGAGGCCGAGGCCAAGAGATCGAGGTCAAGAGATCGAGGTCAAGAGATCATGATCACAAGGTCAAGAGATCGAGACCATCCTGGTCAACATGGTGAAACTCCATCTCTACTAAAAATACAAAAATTAGCTGGGCATGGTAGTGTGTGCCTGTAGACCCAGCTACTTGGGAGGCTGAGGCAGGAGAATTGCTTGAACCCAGGAGGCAGAGGTTGTGGTGAGCTGAGATCATGCCATTGCACTCCAGTCTGGGGGTAACAACAGCGAAACTCCGTCTCAAAAAAAAAAGAAAGACAGCATCTTGCTCTACCACCCAGCTTGAGTGCAGTGGCACAATCATAGCTCACTGCAGCCTCAAACTCCTGGGCTCAATCAATCCTCCCACCTCAGTAGCTGGGATTACAGGTCTCCCAAGTAGCTGGGATTACAGGTGAATGCCACCCTGCCCGGATAATAGGTGGGGCTTTTAAATAGCCCTTGAGATGGGTGAAGGCAACTATATTTATTTATTTATTTAGAGATGGACTTTGCTCTTGTTGCCCAGGCTGGAGTGCAATGGTGCGATATCGGCTTACTGCAATCTCCTTCTCCCGGGTTCAAGCAATTCTCTTGCCTCAGCCTCCCGAGTAGCTGGTAATACAAGCATGCGCCACCACACCTGGCTAATTTTTGTATTTTTAGTAGAGATGGGTTCTCACCATGTTGACCAGGCTGGTCTCAAACTCCTGACCTCAGGTGATCCGACTGCCTCAGCCTCCCAAAGTGCTGGGATTACAGGTGTCAGCTACTGCACCTGGCGCAACTACCATTTATTAAGCACCTGCTGTATGTCAGGTATTCCACAAGCCTCTTTGTGTTCATTAACTTGTTGCAGTGGGAAGCTTGTTTATCATTGCGATTATGACTTGTCTGGAATATTTGCTTAGAAAGTTTGCAAAAATATTTTTTAAACCAAAATAGTCTATTCAGATAAAGCATTCCCACAGAGAAAATTATGCAGATATTTAAGAATTCTGTAGGGCTACAACCCCCCACTGCTAAATTTGACTGGCTTTAAAAAAAAAAAAAAAAAAGAATTCTGTAGAGCTGAGAGTGTATGCAGGCTATTAAGCCTTAAAAACTTTCAGGACCTCTTAGGCTAGCCATTAAGACTCCTGCTGGGAGCTGGTTATTTAATTACTGCTACAAACAAAGTTTCAGCAATTGCTTCTAAATGTTTTTTCCAGGCCTGGAGGGAACCTAGGCTGGGTTGGTGTGTGATAAGGCTGTTTGCCTGCTGGCAATTTTTAAATATTGCTTTCTTTTGTTTTGTTACATAGAGACCATTAATTATGTAGCAAAACAATGCCATGTATTAAGCAAGGGAGCGATTTTATTTTCTCTCTAAAACAATATGTCAAACATTGGCCTTGAAAATGACTAGGTTTGCTCATTTTATTCTATTTTATTTTATTTGAGACAGGGTCTTGCTGTATCATTCAGGCTGGAGTGCAGTGGTATGATATAGGCTCACTGTAGTCTCAACCTCTTGGTCTCAAGCAGTCCTTTTACTTCAGCCTCTCAAGTAGCTGGGACTACAGGCACATGCCACTACACCCGGCTAATTTTTTCTTTTTTTTTTTTTTTGAGACGGAGTTTCGCTCTTGTTACCCAGGCTGGAGTGCAATGGCGTGATCTCAGCTCACCGTAACCTCCGCCTCCTGAGTAGCTGGGATTACAGGCATGCGCCACCATGCCCAGCTAATTTTTTGTATTTTTAGTAGAGACAGCGTTTTGCCATGTTGTCCAGGCTGGTGTTGAACTCCTGACCTCAGGTAATTTACCTGACTTGGCCTCTCAAAGTGCTGGGATTACAGGCGTGGGCCACTGCTCTGGGCCTTGCCTAATTTTTTACAAAAATTTTTTGTAGAGATGGGGTTTCTCCCCCATCTCTGGCCAGGCTGGTCTCAAACTCCAGAGATCAAGTGATTCCATTTACCTTGGCCTCCCAAAGTGCTGAAATTACAGGTATGAGCCACTGCACCCGGCCGCTTTGCTCATTTAATAAACATGTTTTGGCTGGGCACAGTGGCTCACACCTGTAATCCTAGCACTTTGGGAGGCAGAGGCGGGTGGATCACCTGAGGTCAGGAGTTCAAGACCAGCCTGATCAACACGGAGAAACCCCATCTCTATTAAAAAATAAATAAATACATTTTAAGGGACCTATTGTATGCAATGGTGAATAAAATAGACATACTCCTTACCCTCTAGGAGCTTCAGGGATGGCCCAAGAAAGAGATACTGCAAGTAAGTCAATGTACAGCCCAAAGCTGTATTATGAAACTTGTCTCTGTGTTGTATATGTACAATCCCAAATTGTATATAGGAGAGAAAAATATATAGGATATCACTTATAGTGGAAGCCCAAGGAAAATTACATTAGCTGGGTCTTAGGGGATAAGGAAGAAGGGACTAGATGGGGACTTGGTGAGGGAAAAAAGATCATCAGTTATTATAGAAGCAAAATTCTTTCCCTCAAGTGGGAAAGAATGTGGCAACATCTGAGAGCAGAAAAAAGAGCGAGCTCCGCGTCTTGGCTCACACCAGTAATACCAGCCCTTTGGGAGGCAGTTAATAGTTAATAGTTAATAGTTCAAGACCAGCCTGACCAACATGATGAAACCCCGTCTCTACTAAAAATACAAAAATTAGCAAGGTGTGCTAGTGGGTGCCTGTAATCCCGGCTACTCGGGAGGCTGAAGCAGGAGAATCACTTGAACCCAGGAGGCAGAGGTTGCTATGAGCTGAGATCACACCACTGCACTCCAGCCTGGACAACAGAGTGAGACTCCATCTCAAAATTAAATTAAATTAATAGAGTTCTCCAAATGAATAGAACCAATGGACCTTTGAACAACACTGGATTGGAACTGTGCAGGTGTCCATTTTTTTTTTTTTTTTTTTTGAGATGGAATTTCACTCTTCTTGCCCAGGATGGAGTGCAATGGTGAGACCTTGGCTCACTGTAACGTCTGCCTCCAGGTTCAAGTGATTCTCCTGCCTCAGCCTGCCTAGTAGCTGGGATTACAGGCTCTCGCCATCACGCCCAGCTAATTTTTTCTATTTTTAGTAAAGATGGGGGTTTCACTATTTTGGCCAGGCTGGTCTCAAATTCCTGACCTCAGGTGATCCACCCGCCTAGGCCTCCCAAAGTGCTGGAAGTGCTGGGATTACAGGTGTGTGCCACAGCGTCCAGCCTCCTGCTATAATTCTGTAAAGTCTAATTTCTAGAGTAAATCTCTTATCCCATAGCAATGTTTTTTGCATTGAACCCTGACATGAATCAGGCCACGCAGACCATGGTGAAGGCCAAGGGAAGCTACTGAAGTTCTCTGAGTTAGGTAGTTGGCCGATATCTGTGGGTGCGGCTCCCTTAACTATAGTCAGATTCAAGATTCTGAACAGAATAGGGTGCTGTGCGGAAAAAGATGATGTTAGACGATTTCCTAAATCTCCACAGCTGGTTCCTATCTTGCTGGCAAGTGGTTATTAGGATTTTGTTTCTCAGTCCAGACAAGGGGGAAGTGTTATTTGTGCTGTCAGCTGAGAGCCCAAAACAGACCCCTCTTGCTTAATATGGACCCTAAGCCTAAGGAAATAAAAATTACCTACAGGTCACAGGTTCAGGTGTTGGTTGGCATGAGTTCTTTCCTAAATTCCTATGAACGCAAGAAACAACCACGCTCTTGCTAAATTCCCTAACAACAGGAGCTGTCAAGGCAAATTACCAGACTTCTCTTAACTATTTTTTTTTTTTTTTTAGGCAGAGTCTCGCTCTGTCACCCAGGCTGGAGTGCAGTGGTGCTATCTCGGCTCACTGCAACTTCTGCCTCCTGGGTTCAAGCGATTCTCCTGCCTCAGCCTCCCGAGTAACAGGGACTATAGGTGTGTGCCACCACACCCAGCTAATTTTTGTATTTATAATAGAGGGGCTTTCACCATGTTGGCCAAGATAGTCTCCATCTCTTGACTTCATGATCCACCTGTAAGGCCGGTTGCCTCGAGGGAGGCCGGACACACCCACCTCTGCACTCAGCACCTGACTCTGCAGCCAGCACCAGGCTCTGCACTCAGCACCTGACTCTGCAGCCAGCACCAGGCTCTGCACTCAGCACCTGACTCTGCAGCCAGCACCAGGCTCTGCACTCAGCACCTGACTCTGCAGCCAGCACCAGGCTCTGCACTCAGCACCTGACTCTGCAGCCAGCACCAGGCTCTGCACTCAGCACCTGACTCTGCAGCCAGCACCAGGCTCAGCACTCAGCACCTGACTCTGCAGCCAGCACCAGGCTCTGCACTCAGCACCTAGCTCTGTCGCACGGCTCCCTTGGAAGACTCCTGCTAATGCAATCCTGGTCAGCTCTTGCACCGGAAAACCCGCCCAACAACTCGCCAACCAATAGCGGCCCGCCCTGTCCCAATCCCGCTCCCCTGGAGCCAATCAGAGCTCCCATAGCCAAAGGCACCCCGCCCCAGGAAGTCAGCGCGACTTCTCTGGCCCCCTTTCCCGGGACCATAGAACCTCTCCCGGGAGCTGAATAAATTTGCATTTAATATTCTTATACTGGCCTCAGTTTCCTCATTTTAAACTTGGCAATAACCCTTACACCACCCACTTTGACCTCCCAAAGTGCTGAGATTACAGGCATAAGCCACTGCTCCTGGCTCAGCCAGATCCCTTTCTACCTTCACCCTCCACTCCTCTTAACTTTGATTTACACTCAGACCACTGTAACTCTGGACAGAGGACGGACCTTACAGACATTCTCTTCTGATAAGCAACTGCAGACCTTAAACCAGTTTCAGCCAGTTTATAGAGGCTGCACACAGATTGCTTTTGTGTCCTATAGCTCCCATTTTGGCACAGAGAGCCAAATCTATCTCATTTTATTGCTAAAACCCTACCCCCAAGTGAACGCGGGATGTATGTTACATATGTGTTGACTCATTGTACATGTGCTAAACTCCCCTCATAAATATGCATAATCTTTTCCCCAAACCTGCTGAATATGTATGATTCCATTGTGTAATACAGGCTCTGTAAGGCATAAAACCCAACCTGCCCTTTTTCCTTTCCAAGACAGAGCTGCTTGCATGCACTCAGGAGACTGTCTCTTCCTGGTTTGTGAACTGATGTCATCAATACAACTTTCCTGTTACTTAGCCATCTTGGTGGTCTTTTGGATGACACTATCTAATGCTTAGAAGAGTTCATGAGCGAGAGAATGGGCTCCAGTCTTTTGTGGCAGTATTTATATTCAACAGCTTCGTGGCAGACACAGAAACAGATTAAGTGAGTTGACTTTCAGACTGAGAACAGCTCAAAATCTGCCATTCATCAGAAAGTGTGCAGTAGTCCAGGGATAAATACATGTAATTTGCCAAAAGAGGCAGTGGGTGCTAAACTTGGAATCAATATGAAGGCTTTAAAAATATACAGATGATTGAATCCCACTGCAACTCATTTCAATCTGGATTTCTGAGGGTGAAGCCTAGACATCTTTACTTTTTTAGTCCAATTTATCTATTTTTTTCTTATTTTTGTTTTTGAGACAGAGTCCTGCTCAGTTGCCCAGGCTAGAGTGCAGTGGTGCAATCATGGCTCACTGTAGTCTTAGCCTCCTGGGCTCAAGCGATCCTCCCCGCTCAGCCTTCCTAGTAGCTGGGACTACAGGTTCATGCCACTGTGCTCAGCTAATTTTTGTACTTCTGTAGAGATTTGTTTTGTCATGTTGCCCGGGCTGTTCTCAAACTCCCTGGGCTCAAGCAAGCCTCCCAAAGTGCTGGAATTACAGGCATGAGCCACTTGTACCCAGCCCTATTTTTTTCTTTTGTCATTTGTGTTTTGGTTTCATATCCAAGGCTTTGCTTCAGCCAGAGTTACAAAGATTTTCGTCTATATTTTCTATGCATCACATGTTAGCTGTTACATTACTGTTCAGTTCTTGAGACAAATGTTCATTAATAAAATTCAAATATATTACTACAAACACTGTACCTAAGCCTGGGCGCAGTGGCTCACGCCTGTAATCCCAGCACTTTGGGAGGCCAAGGCAGGTGGATCACGAGGTCAGTAGTTCAAGACCAGCCTGGCCAACAAGGTGAAACCACGTTTCTATTAAAAATACAAACATTAGGCTGGGCATGGTGGCTCAAGCCTGTAATAATCTCAGCACTTTGGGAGGCCGAGGCGGGTGGATCACGAGGTCAAGAGATCGAGACCATCCTGGTCAACATGGTGAAACCCCGTCTCTACTAAAAATACAAAAAATTAGCTGGGCATGGTGGCGCGTGCCTGTAATCCCAGCTACTTGGGAGGCTGAGGCAGGAGAATTGCCTGAACCCAGGAGGTGGAGGTTGCGGTGAGCTGAGATTGCACCATTGCACTCCAGCCTGGGTAACAAGAGCGAACTCCGTCTCAAAAAAAAAAAAAAAAAAAAAACCCAAAAATTAGCTGGGCATGGTGGCATGCACCTGTAGTGCCAGGTACTCAGGAGGCTGAGGCAGGAGAATAGCTTGAACCCTGGAGGCAGAGTTTGCAGTGAGTTGAGATTGTGCTACTGCACTCCAGCCTGGGTGACAGAGTGAGACTCTGTCTCAAAACAAAACAAAACCCAAACAACAACAACAATAACAAAAAACAAAATTAGCCAGGCATGGTGGTACATGCCTGTAATCCCAGCTACTTGGGAGGCTGAGGCAGGAGAATTGCTTGAACCTGGGAGGAGGAGTTTGTGGTGAGCCAAGATCACGCCATTGCACTCCAGCCTGGGCAACAAGAGTAAAACTCCTTAAAATAGATATATATAGGCCGGGTGCAGTGGCTCATGCCTATAATCCCAGCACTTTGGGAGGCTGAGGCGGGTGGATCACGACGTCAAGAGATCAAGACCATCCTGGCCAACAAGGTGAAACCCCGTCTCTACTAAAAATACAAAAATTAGCTGGGCATGGTGGTGCATGCCTGTAGTCCCAGCTATTCAGGAGGCTGAGGCAGGAGAATTGCTTGAACCCAGGAGGCAGAGGTTGCGGTGAGCCGAGATCGTGCCATTGCACTCCAGTCTGGGTAACAACAGTGAAACTTCATCTCAAAAAAAAAAAAAAAATATATATATATATATATATATATATATATATATATATAGAGAGAGAGAGAGAGAGAGAGAGAGAGAGAGAGAGAGAGAGAAACTACCTAAGAAGGATCATGTTCCTTTTCTCCAAAGGATGCATCTCATTGGAGGATCATAATACAACAGCATTTATCATCACTGCCAGCTGAGGGCCCAGGAGGCAGTCTAGTGTAGTGATTAAGGGAGCAGATGCCAAAGTCAGTCTGCCTAGATCAGGGCTTGACAGGCTTTCTGTAGAGGAATGTCTTAGTCTGTTTGTGTTGCTACAAAGGAATACCTGAGACTGGTAATTTGTAAAGAAAAGAGAGTATTTGGCTCATGGTTCTGCTGGCTGGAAGACTGGGCATTTGGTAAGAGGCTCAGGCTTCTTTCACTCGTGGTAGAAGGCAAAGGGGAGCTGCCGTGTGCAGAGATCACATGGAGAGAGAGGAACCAAGAGGGAGATGGGGGGTGTAGGCTCTTTTCATTTATTTATTTATTTTTGAGATGGAGTCTCACACTATTGCCCGGCACCCGGGCTGGAGTGCAGAGGCATGATCTTGGCTCACTGCAACCTCTGTCTCCCAGGTTCAAGTGATTCTCCTGCCTTAGCCTCCGGAGTAGCTAGGATTACAGGCACCTGCCACCATGCTTGGCTAATTTTTTTGTATTTTTAGTAGAGATGAGGTATCACCATATCTCGGACTCCTGACCTCAGGTGATACGCAGGCCTCGACCTCCCACAGTGTTGGGATTACAGGTGTGAGCCACTGTGCCTGGCCTTTTATTTTTACTTTTATTTATTTATTTTTTTGAGACAGGGCCTTGCTCTGTCACCCAGGATGGAGTGCAGTGGTGTGATCATAGCTCAGTGCATCCTGGAACTCCTGGGTAGCTGGGACTATAGGTGTGCCACATGTCCAGCTAATTTATTTTTATTATTTTTCTAAAGCTTAGTTTATTTATTTATTTATTATTGCATTTTAGGTCTTGGGGTACATGTGAAGAACATGCAAGATTGTTGCATAGGTACACACATGGCAGCGTGATTTGCTGCCTTCCTCCCCTTCACCTATATCAGGCATTTCTCCCCATGCTATCTCTCCCCATGCTATCTCTCCCCAACTCCCCACCGCCTGCTGTTCCTCCCCTATTTCCCCCCAACAGACCCCAGTGTGTGATGCTCCCCTCCCTGTGTCCGTGTGTTCTCATTGTTCAACACCTGCCTGTGAGTGAGAGCATATCCAGCTAATTTTAAAAAATATTTAAAAAACAAACAACAATAACAATAAAAAATACATATATACATGTATTTTTTTTTTTTTTTTTTTTTTTTTTTTTGTAGAGATGGGGATCTCATTATGTTTGCCCAGGCTGGAGTGAGGCTCTTTTTTTTTTTCCTTTTTAGGTGGAGTCTAGCTCTGTCACCCAGGCTGGAGTGCAATGATGTGATCTCAGCTCACTGCAACCTCCTCCCAGGTTCAAGTGATTTTCCTGCTCCAGCCTCCCAAGTAGCTGAAATTACAGGTGCCCACCACCACGTTCAGCTAATTGTTGTATTTTTAGTAGAGAAGGGGTTTCACTGTATTGGTCAGACTGGTCTCAAACTCCGGACCTCATCATCTGCCTGCCTTGGTCTCCCAAAGTGCTGGGATTACAAGCGTGAGCCACCACACCTGTCCATGAAGCTCTTTTTTAACAATTTGCTCTGGTGGGAACTAAAAGAAGGAGAACTCACTGAGTCCCCCATCCCAGGGCATTAATCTATTAATGAGAAATACACCCCCATGGCCCAAATATCTCTCATTAGATCCCACCTTCAACATTGGGAGCTGAATTTCAACATGAGGTTTGGAGGGATTGACTATCCAAACCATAGCATTCAAATGGCTTTGCAGTTCTTTGGATTCTGTTGGATCTATTCAACTCTGCCAATATTTCATAAAAGCAGCCGTAAACAGTGTATAAACAAATGAGCAAGGCTGTTCCTATAAAACTTGATAGGGGGGTAGAAATGAAATTCCCAATCCTCTAATCATGCCTTAGTCTTTCTGGTCACCAGCCCCCATCTTGAAGCTATGAGAGGCCCTCTGCCACCAGCTATCTCATTAACATGAGAAAGACATTCATATCACTCTGGACATTTCAAGGGTTTTAGTAGCTGTATGTCAGGAACTGAGCTGAAGATCAGGTAGTTCATTTTTTTCATAGACCCTTAGCACTGTATTAAAGAGTCTTGGTAATATTTCTGCTTGCTTGTGAAATGCTTGTTTTGTCTCTTTGAATGTAAGCCCCATGAGGGCCAGGACTGTGTCTGAATAGAACTCAGACTCACAATCTGCAGCAATCAGCCCAGGAAACCAATTATAGCAACCAGTCCAGCAAGCCAGCCTGCTCTCACAACTCGACTTGTAGGAAGGCAGGCCACTTTCTCTAGCAGCCAGTCTGGGAAA